GGAGGTCAAGGTGGGAGGGTCACTTGAGGCCAGAAGTTTGAGAGGGCAGCATAGTGAGACCCTATCTCTACAAAAGAAAAATAAGGCCAGGCGTGGTGGCTCACACTTATAATCCCGGCACTTTGGGAGCCTGAGGCAGAAGGATCACTTGAGCCCAGGAGTTTGAGACCAGCCTGGGCAACGAGGAGAAACCCCATCTCTACGAAAAATACAAAAACTAAGCTGGACACGGTGGCCCATGCTTCTAGTCCCAGCTACGTGGGAGGCTGAATGGAGAAGATAGCTTGAGCCTGGGAGGTGGAGGTTGCAGTGAGCTGAGATCACACCACTGCCCTCCAGCCTGGACATTAGAGTAAGACTCTGTTTTAATGAATAAGTAAATAAATAAGCTGGGTGTGGTGACATGTGCCTGTAGTCCCAGCTACTTGGGATTGCTCCAGTCCAGGAGTTCGAGGCTGCAGTGAGTCATGAATGGGCCACTGCACTCCAGCCTGGGCAACAGAGTGAGACCCTGTCTCAAAAAGAAGAGTACAGGAGAAAATACTCTCCTCACCAACTACTCCCACACCAGCATTTGTGGGAGGCAGAGGAAAGGCCCATGCAGCCAGGAAACACTCATGTAGATATTGTTTCCTTTTTTTCCTGCGTCTTCTAGTTCCCTGCCTCCAAGCAGCAACTGTAGAGCCCTTTGAGAAAGAAAGAATTCAACAGAGGGAAGGAACCTATGCACTGAATTGGAAATAATAAAACCTGAGTCCTGATAATACCCCCCTCCCCACTCAACCCACACATCTCCCTTTCATACTTCAAGATAACATGAGGGGCCGGGCGCGGTGGCTCAAGCCTATAATTCCAGCACTTTGGGAGGCTGAGACGGGTGGATCAAGAGGTCAGGAGATCGAGACCATCCTGGCTAACACGGTGAAACCCCGTCTGTACTAAAAAATATAAAAAACTAGCCGGGCAAGGTGGCGGGTGCCTGTAGTCCCAGCTACTCGGGAGGCTGAGGCAGGAGAATGGCGTGAACCCGGGAGGCAGAGCTTG